TATTTCTGCTACTTTCATTAACTTTCCTATTCTCTTTGTCTAGCTAATTCTCTATTATATCGCACGTTCTCACAACCATGTCTGTGCTCACGCACGCCACCTAACCAAGTCCCAAAACTACGTATATATATATATATATGCATATATATATATTTGTTCGAGTGTAAATTTTTACACGCGAGTTTTTTGAATTGAATATCAATTCTTAAAATTCATATTGGATGCTAGATTTGCATCACATATATGAGAGATCCCATCTACCCCCCTAACTAATTTTGAAAATATTGCGAAAAAATAGCCAGGAAATAATCCTCAGCCAGGAGTATTTTTTCGCAATATTTTAAAAAAATAAAAAGATAAATAAAATCACGCCATTCAGAAGAAGATGATGGTGGTGTGGATGTTCTCAATATAATAATATAAATTGTAAAATCTTACATATTGTAGTTGATTGACTTCATGTTTAGAGTCAAAATCAAACGGTTTGCGTTACCTATATTTCATTATACGTTTTTTTGATATTATAATTAAATAAATACAAAGTTCTTCTATTTAGCTCGTAACAGACCTTCTTTTTATATTTAATTTTGTTATTGTTATTATAACGAGCGTGATTTGTTTTACACTTTATTGAAACAAGAAGAAAAAAATTTGTTTGCGCGACCGCGCAACGCGTGATGTTCTTTAAGTAATGAGAAAAAAAACAAAATAAATTCACTTAATAGTGTCGGTGCGATAATAGAGTCGGTGCGGGGTGACGTGCGAAAGTACCGACTCTATTATCGCCCGATACACCACATTTTCATTTTGGAATCACCAACAAGAGTCGGAGGCTACACCTCACATTTGAACTTTGTTTAAATTCGCTTGTTTTGAATTTAGCAATAAGATAGAAAACAAAAAAAAAAACGTTAAGACACAAGCGGAGTTGGATCATGCGAACGTTTATTCGCAGTTTTATCAACGCAACGGTCAGCCGTATCCTATATGCGACAAGGACAATTTGATTGTGGAGGTTACGCAGGCCACGCGCAGAGTGGCCACTCTGATAGAACTGGGAGGCACCGACCCCTTAGCCGCGAATACCGCGGTGGTTAAGTTCACCGTTCGCCACGCGGGAAAGTATCGAATAGCTGTACTTATCGGATCGTGTCACGTACACGGTAGCCCTTTTCTGAAAAATTTTCTCCCCGGTACGTATATCACGTTACAAACGTCACAATGTGGAAAAGCGATATTCGTCAACGTGAACGAAAGCTCTTTTGTGATGTTGTGTTTGGGTTTTAGCCGATGGCTTGTAAACAAAAAAACATTTGAAAAAAATATAACAAGGTCTGTTTCGAGCTAATAGAAGATCTTAAAGATTTTTAATATTAAACAGTGATATCAGAAATATAAAATGATATCAAAAAACAAATTACAAATAAACGTTTCGGCTCTCACTTGAGCCTTCTT